TGAGTTTGGGAGTTGTAGTTCACCTACATCCAGAGAGAACTGTAGACTCAAACAATGATGGATCTGTTCCAAACTTGGCACGAATACTCAATATGCCCAAATGTGAATCCTGGTGGAGTTTGGGGGAAAATAGACCCTTCAGGGAGAAGGCAGGATGCCGTTCGGACCACGATGGTCCCTCCAAGACTGTGCTTCTCAACCGTCCTAACGTCCCGACTCCTTAGTACAGTTCCACATATTGTGTTGACCCCCAACCATAACAGTATTTTCATTGCTACTTCAGAACTGTCATTTTGCTCCTGTTATGAATCATCATGTAAGATATGCAGGATGTGTTTCCATTCACTGGACCTCATTTGGCATAAATACCCAATATGCCCAAATTTGAATACTGGTGGGGCTGGGGATGGATTGATTTCGTCATTTGGGAGTTGTAGTTGCTGGGATTTATAGTTCACCTACAACCAAAGAGCATTCTGAACTCTACCAACGATGGAACTGAACCAAGCTTGGCACACAGAACTCCCAAGACCAACAGGAAATACTGGAAGGGCTTGGTGGGCATTGGCTTTGAGTTTGGGAGTTGTAGTTCACCTACATCCAAAGAGAACTGTAGACTCAGTTCCATCATTGTTTGATGGAACTTTGGAACAGATCCATCATTGTTTGATGGATCTGTTCCAAACTTGGCACAAATACTCAGTATGCCCAAATGTGAATCCTGGTGGCGTTTGGGGAAAATAGACCTCGACATTTGGGAGTTGTAGTTGCTGGGATTTATAGTTCACCTACAATCAAAGAGCATTCTGAACCCCACCAACGATGGAATTGAACCAATCTTGGCACACAGAAGTCTCATGACCAACAGAAAATATTGGAAAGGTTTGGTGGACATTGGCCTTGAGTTTGGGATTTGTAGTTCACCTACATCCAAAGAGCACTGTGGACTCAAACAATGATGGATCTGGACCAAACTTGGCATGAATATTCAATATACCCACATGTGAACACTGCTGAAACACAGCAGAAAATACTGAAGGTCTTTGTGGGAAATTCATTTTGATTTGGGGGAAATGTAGTTCACCTACATCCAGAGAACATTGTGAATCCAAACACCGATGGATCTGCACCAAACATGACACACAGACCTGAGATGCCAAAATACGATTGCTGGAGGGGTTTGGGGGGGAACGGATCTTCCTTCCTGGGAGTTGTAGTTAACCCACAACCAGAGAAACTATGACCTCCACGATGATGGACTTGGACACACAGAATTGGAGAGAAAGCTTCAGTGGATACTCCTTTTCTCTATGACTATAACTCTTCCAGGACTTGATTTCCTTCTCCCTTCCTGTTGTCTCAGCCCCATTCATGTTTTGAAGCAGAGGCTGGCCATCTGTTGGGAAGGTTTAGATGGTGTCTTCTTACCTGGCAGAAGGGGGTTGGACTGGATGGCCCTTGGGGTCCCTTCCAACCCTCCTTCCTCTCTTTCCTCCTTCCCCTTTTGCTGCCTCAACAGAGCAACACCTTTTGAGTTGTGTTTCCAAACAAACAAACACCTCGCCACTCCAAAAGCCGCAATAAGGAAGAAGAGCCAGGTGCAAAAGGCAAAGCCTTGTTTTGTTTGCCCCACCTTGACGTCCCAGTACCCGCCCTGCCATAAAAGGATTGCTATCCCAGGATAGGATGTAAGACCTTATTTTAGGGCTTGAGCATAAATTCACTGTCAGGAAAATACCCCCCTTTTTTGTGTACACAAGGCTTTTCTGTTGAGCTGCGTCAACAAAGGCTGATCCCTTTGGTCGGAGGATTTCAAACATTGCTTCCTGCCCTACATTTCTAGCTCCCAAGCCAGAAGGAAAACCCGTTTTGCTGGACTGAGCCAAAGCACGTACAGCCCTCTGGCATCCTTTGGAGAAAAGGGAGAATGGCATGCTGTGAGATCCTGGGAGTTATAGTTTGCCAAGGACTTAATTCTATCTTTGGTGGAGTGCTCCTTGATTGCAGGTGAACTATACATCCCAGTACCTACAACTCCAAAACGTCCAGGCCAATTCCCCTCCAAATCACCAGTATTCAAATGTGGGCATATTGGGTATGCATGCCAAGTTTGGTCCAGATCTGTGAACTACAACTCCCTCAAATCAATGTGAATTTTCCCCAAAGTCCTCCAGTCTTTTTTTGCCGGTCATGGGAGCTGTGTGCCAAGTTGGGTCCAATTCCATCTTTTGTGGAGTTCAGAGTGCTCATGGATTGCAGGTGAACTATAAATCCCAGTACCTACAACTCCAAAATGTCCAGGCCAATTCCCTTCAAAACCCACCAGTATTCACATTTGGGCATATTGGGTATGCATGCCAAGTTTGGTCCAGATCCATCATTGTTTGGGTTCATAGTGTGCTCTGGATGTAGGTGAACTACAACTCCAATAAATCCCCCAAAGTCCTACAATTTTTTTTGTTGTTCATGGGGCTTCTGTGTGCCAAGTTAGTTCCAGGTCCATCATTGGTGGAGTTCAGAGTGCTCTTAGATTGCAGGTGAACTATACATCCCAGGACCTACAATTCCCAAATCTCTCTAGTATGTTCAGTTGCTGATCAATTCCTCTGTTTGCTGTGTGCCATAGAAAAAAAAAAGAATAAGGGTTAAGAGAGAGGCAGTGGGCAGGGTCATGCAAATTCCACACCAATGGAGAGAGTAAGGAACACTGGGCTGCCTGTGGTGGAAGAAACACATCTAGGATGGAATTGTCCCCATACAAAAGCCTTCCCTTCGGTGGTGGCCAGTGTGGTGTTGGTGGAGGACAATGGCAGGCCTCTTGGACATGTTCGTGGTGCTCTCTATAACCTACAGAGGGAGACATCATTAGACATCTCCAGCTCATCCCCTGTTTGGGTATCAGCCAGCACGTCAATGACTTAAATCCAGACATAGTTTTCTAAGATCTACAGAGACACTCGCTGGAACACCTCAGCAAACGAGAGTCCAAAAGTTGCAGGCTCAAACCCAGAACCTCAACCAATGGCTGATACCAAATGAGAGACTCCCCCCTGGGCACACAGAGGACTGGGCGACTTGGAAGGCGCTGAACAGACTGCGCTCTGGCACCACGAGATGCAGAGCCAACCTTCAGAAATGGGGCTACAAAGTGGAATCCACGACATGCGAGTGTGGAGAAGAGCAAACCACAGACCATCTGCTGCAATGCAACCTGTGCCCTGCCACATGCACAATGGAGGACTTTCTTATAGAGGCACTCCAAGTGGTCATATACTGGTCAAAAGACATTTAATCAACTACCAAACTCACACATTTTGTATTTTCTCTGTTTGTTTGCTTTGTTCTGTTAGAAATGTAATATAATTGACTGGCTGCCCTGACACGAGAAAGAAAGATTAGAGGGAGGGCCTACTCAGGAGTGTCTCCTGAGTAGTGGGAGCTAGCGCTGTTTGTGGAGGCAGGAGCTTGTCTGTGCAAGTGGACACCCCAGCCACACACACACAAACATATTTTATTTTTATAATATTTATTTACTTATTTAAAATATTTATTTTTATAATATTATTATATTTTATTTATATTTTATTATGTGTCTAGATTTATTTATACCCCAAATATGGACACTAGACTCCTGTTGATGGCCTTGGTGCAATGAAATCAGACGTAGTCCTTGTGGGCATAACTTTCCGACGCTGCCTGTTTCTGGACCCGATACCGAATCCGGTCGAGTTTGGGGCTGTCTTTTGGGAGGCAAACGCAGCTTAGTGCGGCTCCTCCGAGGACAAGGAGCCCGCTGGCCGCCCATCCGACGTACAGGGAGACCCCCAGCTCTCGCTTCAGTGCTTCAGGGACCATTGGGTTGTAGAAGTTGCGGATGATGCTATGGGCTGACCAGGAAACGGGGACAAGGAGGGCCAACGCGGAAAGGACAAAGAGGCCACCGGAAGCAGCTACGATCTTGGCTTTGGTTGCTCGGCCGTCCACACAGTGGGTGCAGTCGGCTCCAGACACGGCAAGGAGCAGGGCCAAGACGGCACCGGCAACGGAAGCCACGGCCGAGGCTCGGGCGGCTTGGAGGTCGGGCGGCAGCTCCAACAGGTTGTCGTAGACCTTGCACTGCATCTGGCCAGTGCTTTGGTAGACGCAGCTCATCCAGAGGCCCTCCCAGAAGACCTGCGCCACGATGATGTTGGCGCCTCCGAAGGCCGTCACTTTCCACATGGGCAAAGCGCAAGCCAGGACGGCACCCAGGAGGCCCAGAGCGGAGAGCGCCAAGCCCAGCAGCTGCAAGGCCAGCATGGTCCCACCTGCGGAAAGGATATGGCAGGGGTCAGAATGGGTTGGGAAACATGGAGCATTGCCATTGTTGGGTTGGATGGAAACTCTCTCCATGCACCTTAGGGTCCTCCAGCATGACTTTATGGTCAGATATTGAACATCGAATTGCACCAAAGGCCTCGAGATTCCTAGAGATGTGTTCTCTTTTGGCACCCCAAGGTCCTCCGGTGCAAATGTATGGCCTGAAATTGACCATCAAAATCACAATGGAGGACATTCAGATTCTTAGGGATCTCAAGATCCTCCAGTGCAATTATATGGTCACTTTTGGCCTGACATTGACTATCAAAATCATGTTCAGATTCATTGAGATCTCAAGGTACTCGAGTGCAATTGTATGGTCACCTTTGGACTGACATTGACCATCAAAGTCACACTGGAGGACTTTCAGATTCTTAAGAGATCTTGAAGTCCTCCAGTGCAATTGTATGGTCACCTTTGGCCTGACGTTGACTATCAAAATCACACTGGAGGACTTTCAAATTTTTAGAGATCTCAAGGTCCTCCAGTGTAATTGTATGGCCATCTTTGGCCTGACATTGACCATCAAAGTCACACTGGAGAAAGTTCAGATTCTGAGGGATCTCAAGGTCCTTGAGTGCATTTGTATGGTCACTTTTGGCCTGACGTTGACTATCAAAATCACACTGGAGGACATTCAGATTCTTAGAGACCTTGAGGTCTTCCAGTGAAATTATATGGTCATCTTTGATCTGACATTGGCTATCAAAATCTCACTGGAGGATGTTCAGATTCATTGAGATCTCAAGATCCTCCAGTGCAACTACATGGTCCCTTTTGGCTTTGACCATCAAAATCACACTGATGGATGTTCAGCTTCTTAGAGATCTCAAGGTCTTCCAGTGCAACTGTATGGTCACTTTTGGCCTGACATTGACCATCCAAAATCACACTGGAGGACGTTCAGATTCATAGATATCTCAAGGTCTTTGAGTGCAATTGTATGGTCACTTTTGGCCTGACATTGACCATCCAAAATCACACTGGAGGACATTCAGATTCATAGAGATCTTGAGGTCCTCAAGTGCAACTGTATGGTCCCTTTTTACCTGACATTGCCTATCAAAATCACACTGGAGAATGTTCAGCTTCTAAGAGATCTCGAAGTCCTCCAGTGCAATTGTATGGTCACTTTTGGCCTGACATTGACCATCGAAATCACACTGGAGGATGTTCAGACTCTTAAGAGATCTCTCTAGGCATCTCACATCCTCCAGTGTGATTTTGATGGTCAACTTTGGACAGACATTGACCATAGAACCATATCTGCGGAACTTAAGAAATTCCTAGAATCGCATTGGCCTTTTTAGCTGCAGCATCATGTCCAACTTGTGGGCCCCAAAATTTGGTTAATTTTGGCCCATCTCTCTCTTGCTCTCTCTCTCTCTCTCTCTCTCTCTCTCTCTCTCGTTCTGTCCCTGTTGTTTTTAACATCCTCCCTTCCCAGCTGTGTTAGCAAACCGGTTCCTACTTTGGAYGCAGAGGCGAAAACACCAAAGGGAGAAAGGCCTGTTTTTCCAGTTGCCCCGCCTCTCCTCCCTGGGCCAGAAACGACTGTTGCGGAGTCCATGCTCATCCCATACAAATTGGTTTTTGAGCAAGCCAAGGGAACGTTCCTTCTGCGAACCGGGAAAAACAAGTTTTACCTAATCTTCATTTCCTCTCTGCTTCCAATCTAATCTTTTTGCACCTGMTGGGCCTRTATTGCCAAACCAGTATTCGAACCTTGTTCTCCGACACCTTATATTTTCTTGGAGAATGAATATCATTTGACCCCATTCAAACATGCTATGGGAAGTTGTAGTTTGGCAATCTTACCTACCTTGAGACGCAAGGAGAGGCAGTCAATAAATTATTATTATTATATTATCATCATTATTATCATCATACTATTATTAATCTATTATTACTATTATTATTATTATTATTATTATTATTATTATTATTTTACTGACACAAAACCACAGTATGTCACAGCAAATGAGATCTCTATGCTGGATTTCATATCTCAAAATCACAAGTCGAACACTTCCCAAGCATCTAGGACTGTGTGATGTATTATTATTATTATTATTATTATTATTATTATTATTATTATTATTATATTACTCTATGTAACACAATTTTTGTTCGTGGATTATAAATGTCATTTCCTAATTGGTTCTATCTTTATGGGTGTAAACATGGGAGCTCGCCCCGCAACTTGAGAAACTGCAAGTTGCTTCCGGCATGAGAGAATTGGCTGTCTGCAGGGACGTTGCCCAGGGAACATTGTGTTACTGTCCTGTGGGAGGCTTCTCTCATGTCCCCATGTGAGAAGCTGGAGTTGACAGATGGGAGCTCACCCCTCGACTTGAGAAACTTCACATCACTTCTGGTGTGAGAGAATTGGCTGTCTGCAGGGACGTTGCTCAGGGGAGATTGCCCAGATGTGTTACCATCCTGTGGGAGGCTTCCCTTATGTCCCCGTGTGAGAAGCTGGAGCTGACAGATGGGAGCTCACCCCGCGACTTGAGAAACTGCACGTCACTTCTGGTGTGAGAGAATTGGCTGTCTGTTGGGACGTTGCCCAGGGGATATTGCCCGGATGTGTTACCATCCTGTGGGAGGCTTCTCTCATGTCCCCAAATGGGAAGCTGGAGCAGACAGATAGGAACTCACACTGTCTCGTGGATTTGAATCACCGACCTTCAGGTCAGCAGTTCACCCGACACAAGGGTTGAACCCATTGTGTCACTGTGGCTCACAGTGCACGCTATGAGAGATGGAAAGAGGATTAATTTGGTCCTTGTTCCAGACTGCGTATTCCCCCCACAAATGCAGACGCATTGGATCAAACACACGGTGAAAAGATATGGTTTTAGAGGTGCATTTATTTATATATAGATATAAAAACAATAACCTGGAAAAACTGGACTGAAAAATAGGGAAGGGATTCGATGCTCAAACAGAATGAATGGCAAAGGAACTGCACAGATATACATACGCAACAACCCTAAAGATCACTTGCATCCTATCCAGAGCGGGGCAAAGGGACCCTTTTGTTCCCAGACTACAACTCCCAGGCTGGTAAGGGATTCTGGGACCTGTAGTCTGAAGAAAAAGGGTAACTTTGCCCCGCTCTGGCAGCTGGAGTTGCGTAAAGGAGGAAGGCACCCAAACCAAGCCCTTTGCAACTACTAAGTTTCATTCTTGCCAGACCTGAAACTCCACTCTGGTTTCAAAACCCGGCTAGTATGGATGACTCCGGACTCAAAATTGCTCCCAGAGGAAGAAATTGAGAGCTCAAGGATTGCTTTAACTGGGAGTCATGGATATAATGCATATTTTGGCATAGCATTACTCCTTTGCAGCCCCATTTCAAAAAGTGTCCCGGTTTCTCTTGCCTCCTCCTTGGTCCTCAGCTGACCTCCGCTGCTGCAAACCTAACTTCAAATTAACATATGCACTGTGTTGCTTCATTTAATGCAATATCATGTATATTTTGGAACAGCAAAGTAAAATATGCACTGTATTACATGACAATTAGATACTCCCAGTTGAAGCAATTGTGCTCCATTTACTTACTCAGATGAAGGTAGAGAAGAGGATTGCCCTTTTGCTCATTAATAACTTCCTCCAAGCAATAGCGAGATGTTACACTGCAAACATAACAAGCAGCTTCCTCCAACTTTGTAAACAAATAGCAATGGGTTACATTGCAGACATAACAAGTTACTTTTTCCAAGTAACAATGTGTCACATACGGAATGTAACAAGTTACTCCCCCACCTCCAACAACAAGGAAACAAGTAACAATGTGTAACACTGCAAACGGAAAGAAAGTTACTTCCTCCAACATGGCAACAAGCAACATCAGAGGGTAAGAGTTGTTTGACAGTCAGAGGTTGAGATGGCTTGGAGGTTGGGTGACCATCTGTCAGGAGGGCTCGGATGGTGTCTTCCAATCCAGGGTTGGACTGGATGACCTTTGGGGATGCATCCCGACTCTAATGGGATATAGATTGCCTTGAATTCTAGTGGAGTCTCCTTTTCTAGATGTTCATCTGTCAGGAGGGCTTGGATGGTGTCTTCCAATCCAGGGTTGGACTGGATGGCCCTTGGGAGTCCCTCCCAACTCTTGTTTGTGGGGACTCTTCCAACGCTAGAGTTCTATGATAGAGAGACAGACAGACGCATACAAACATACATACATACATACATACATAAAGGGGTTGGACTGGATGGCCTTTGGGAGTCCCTCCCAACTCTAGTGGGATATAGATTGCCTTGGAGTCTCCTTGGAGTCCAGTAGAATCCCCTTTTGTAGATGTCCATCTGTTGGGAGAGCTTGGATGGTGCCTTTCACTCCAAGGTTGGACTGGATGGGCTTTGGAAGTTCCTCTAGAAAGATATAGATTGCCTTGGAGTGTCCTTGGAGTCTGGAGGAGTCTCCATTTGTAGATGTCCATCTGTTGGGACGGCTTGGATGGTGTTTTTCAATCCATGGTTAGACTGGGTGTCCTTTGGGAGTCCCTCCCAATTCTAGTGGAATATGGAGTCTGGTGGAGTCTCCTTTTCTCAGTGTCCATCTGTTGGGAGTGCTTGGATGGTGTCTTTCACTCCAAGGTTGGACTGGAAAGATATAGATTGCCTTGGAGTGTCCTTGGAGTCCAGAGGAGTCTCCTTTTGTAGATGTCCATCTGTTGGGATGGCTTGGATGGTGTTTTCCAATCCATGGTTGGACTGGATGGCCTTTGAGAGTCCCTCCTAACTCTAGAAAGATATAGATTGCCTTGGAGTCTCTTTTTGTAGATGTCCATCTGTTGGTAGGTCTTGAATGGTGTCTTCCAATCCAGGGTTGGTCTGGATGGTCTTTGGGAGTCCTTCCCCACTCTAGAAAGATATAGATTGCCTTGGAGTCTCCTTGGAGTCTGGTGGAGTCTCCTTTTGTAGGTGTCCATGTGTTGGGAGGACTTGGATGGTGACTTCATGGTTAGACTGGATGGCTTTTGGGAGACCCAGCTTCGGTAAGATATAGATCACCTTGGAATCTCCTTGGAGTCCCCTTGAAGTCTGGTGGAGTCTCCTTTTGCAGATGTCCATCTGTTGGTAGGTCTTGGATGGTGTCTTCCAATCCAGGGTTGGTCTGGATGGTCTTTGGGAGTCCCTCCCCACTCTAGAAAGGTATAGATTGCCTTGGAGTCTCCTTGGAGTCTGGTGGAGTCTCCTTTTGTTAGGTGTCCATGTGTTGGGAGGACTTAAATGGTGTCTTCATGGTTAGACTGGATGGCCTTTGGGAGACCCAGCTTTAGTAAGATATAGATCACCTTGGAGTCCCCTTGGAGTCTGGTGGAGTCACCTTTTGTAGATGTCCCTCTGTTGGTAGGTCTTGGATGGTGTCTTCCAATCCATGGTTAGACTGGGTGGCCTTTAGGAGTCCAACTCTAGCAGAATATGAATCGCCTTAGAGCCCATTGAAATGTCCTTCCCAGGAGGTCTTTAAGCCGAGGCTGGATGTGCCTCTGTCAGGAGAGCTCGGGTGGTGTCTCGACGGCCCCACATTCGGCCCCCGCTAGACGTAGTTGCTGGCGGGCATGGAGCGGGTGGCGGTGTACTTGGCAGAGTAGGGCTTCTCGTTCCTGGGTGGGCAGTTGCAGCAGAGAATCGCCCCTCCGATGAAGAGGAGCCCGACGGAGGCCCAGCCAATGTAGAGCGATGGCCCGAACTCCCGCTTCTGGCTCTCCACCACCATGGGGTTGTAGAAGTCCCGGATGACGTTGTTGGCCGTCCAGCACAAGGGGATGAGGAGCAGCACCCCGGAGATGATGAAGACCACGCCGGCGGCGATGACGATCTTGGCCTTGGTGGCCTCGTCCTCCACGCAGTTGGTGCACTTGCCGCCCATGACCGCCAAGCCCAGGCCCAGCACCACCAGCAGGATGGAGATGATCACCAAGGCTCGGGCGGCCTGCATGTCCTGAGACATGGCCAGCGTGGACTCGTAGACCTTGCACTGCATCTGCCCGGTGCTCTGGACCACGCAGGTCATCCACAGCCCGTCCCAGATGATCTGGGCCACCACGATGTTGCTCCCGATGAAGGCCGTGACCCGCCACATGGGCAGGCCGCAGCAGAGGATGGACCCCAGCCAGCCCAGGACCGACAAGGCAATGCCCAGCACCTGCATCCCCATGGAGCCCATGGCGAGACCCACACCGCCCTCGTCGCCTCTCCACTGAGGCGCCGGCCTCGGATTTGGGGATGTTATACACCCAACGGGGGTGGAGTTTCCCAACTCCATCCAGTCTGAACAGACTCCTGGGCTCAAACCAGTTCCCCGGGATTCCTCCCTGATCGGCATCTGCCAGGGTTGAGATTCCCCCGAAGGGAAGACACGGAGACCTGATAGGAAACTGTCATCATCATGTCATTTAAGTATGAAAATCCCAGTACTGTCGCATCGCATATGGACAAACGGGGACAAACCGGAATGGGACAATGGGCATGATGTGCGGAAAAGAGGGGACATCGGAAAATTTGGGTGACTTACACATAAGGGGTGTGAGCCCTATACGTATTGATAGTAGGGCAGAATTGATCAATTGGCTAGATATCAGAAGATAGAATCATGGAATCCTAGAGTTGGAAGAGACCTGGTGGGCCATCCAGACCAACCCCATTCTGTCAAGAAGCAGGAAAATCGCCTTCAAAGCACCCCCAACAGATGACCATCCAGCCTCTGCTTAATAATAATAATAATAATAATAATAATAATAATAATAATAATAATAATAATAATAATAGAATCCTAGAGTTGGAAGAGACCTGGTGGGCCATCCAGACCAACCTCATTCTGCCAAGAAGCAGGAAAATCGCCTTCAAAGCACCCCCRACAGATGGCCATTCARCCTCTGCTTTAAAGCCTCCAAAGAAGGAGCCTCCGCCACACTCCGGGGCAGAGAGTTCCACTGCTGAACAGCTCTCACAGTCAGGAAGTTCTTCCTAATGTTCTGGAGTGCCGCAGGGTTCCGTCCTGGACCCAGTCCTGTTCAACATCTTTAGTGATGATGATGATGATGATGATTATGATGATGATGATGATGACTACCTTAGGTACCTGACGTTGCCCAGATTATTTGAAAAAGTCAATTTTGTAATGGTTTGGGGTGAACTACAACTCCCATCATGCCAGGTTAACCCCAAAAAACTCCACCAGTCCTTAAAGTTTGTGATGTTGTGCAAGTTTGTTCTAGATGCATCCTCAATGGGGTTGAGGATGCAGGGTAAACTATAACTCCCACTATGGTGAGTCAGTCCCCTCAAACCTCTCTAGTAGGTTCAGTCAGTCATGGAGGTTCAGTGTGCCAAGTTTGGTCCAAGTCCATCATCAGTGGAGGTTACCATTCCTCTGGTTGTGGGTGAACTACAGCTCCCAGAAAGGAAAGTTATTTCCCTCCAAACCAGGAATCAAATTTCGGCATATCAGGTATGTGTGCCAAATTTGTTCCAGATCTATCGGTGTTTGGGTTCACAGAGCTCTCTGGATGTTGTTGAACTACAACTCCCCCAAATCAAGGTGAATTTTCTCCAAAGACCTCCAGTATTTTTTACTGGTCACGGGGGTTCTATGTGCCAAGTTTGATCCAATTCCATCTCTGGTGGAGTTCAAAGTGCTCATGGATTGCAGGTGAACTATACATCCCAGTACCTACAATTCCAAAATGTCCAGGCCAATTCCCCTCAAAATCCACCAGTATTTAAATGTGGGCATATCGAGTGTGCATGCCAAGTTTGGTCCACATCCATCATTGTTTGGGTTCATAGTGCGTTCTGGATGTAGGTGAACTACAACTCCTACAACTCCCTCCAAAGACTTTCAGTATGTTTTGTTGGTTAGGAGGGTTCTGTGTACCAAGTTAGTTCCAGGTCCATCATTGATGGAGTTCAGAGTGCTCTTTGATCGCAGGTGAACTATACATCCCAGAACCTACAACTCTTATAAATCATGGCGAATTCTCCCCATCTGAGGAGAGTATTGACGAGAACACAGCTGGACGCAGTGGTCCAACATGGAAGGTCTAATCAAGTTCCACATAATGAATGTCTTTGTATCTCTGGAGCATCAGAAGTAGAAGACACCACACATGGGCTAATCGATACAACCAACTGGACTATGGAAGTATTATGACAATTACTATTATATTATTTTCCTGAAATTTGAATCTGTTGCATTTCCATAGACTTCCTTGACCATGGATTGCAATGGAGGTCCTCCTTTTGCCCTCTTAAAGGGGACCTTTTGACCAGTTCCACCTCCTTGTTGAAAGCCTCTCTCCATGAGTCATCTCCGCCAATTTAGGTTGGGAAAAACCGCAGCTACACCTCTGGCATCCTGGGATTGCCAAACCAGTCTGGGCAGCCGAGGTGTCTCAACCCAAAACAACATCCCATGGAAGCAGAAACAGGAGGGGCAACACCTGGAATGTGGGTTGGACTAGATGGCTTCTAAGGGGCCTCTCAGTTCTCATAGGAGCCTARARTTGGACGRGATGCCAAGGTCCATCCAGTCCAAYCCCTGCCCTGATGATAGTGATGATGATGATGATGATGATGATGATGATGATGATGATGATGATRATGAAGAAGAAATAATAATAATAATAATAATAATAATAATAATAATAATAATAATGGAATCCTAGAGTTGGAGGAGACCCCAAGGGTCATCCAATCCAACCCCTGTCCTGATGATGATGATGATGATGATGATGATGATGATATAATAATAATAATAATAATAATAATAATAATGAAATCCTAGAGTTGGACAAGACCCCAAGGTCCATCGTCCAACCCCTGCGCTGATGATGGTGGTGGTGGTGATGAGGATGATGAGGATGATGATATAATAATAATAATAATAATAATAATAATAATAATAATAATGAAATCCTAGAGTTGGACAAGACCCCAAGGTCCATCGTCCAACCCCTGCCCTGATGATGGTGGTGATGAGGATGATGATGGGAGACTAGAGTTAGACAAGACCCCAATATCCATCCAGTCCAACCCCTGCCCTGATGATGATGATGATGATGAGGAGGAGGAGGAGGAGGAGGATGGGAGACTAGAGTTGGAGGAGACCTCAAGGACCATACAATCACACCCCTGTCCTGGTGATGATGATATAATAATAATGCAATCCTAGAGTTGAATGAGATCCCAAGATCCATCCAGTCCAACCCCTGCCCTGATGATGGTGGTGGTGGTGATGGTGATGATGATGATGATGGAAGACTAGAGTTAGACGAGACCCCAATATCCATCCAGTTCAACCCCTGCCTTGATGATGGTGATGATGATATAATAATATTGGAATCCTAGAGTTGGATGAGATCCCAAGTTCCATCCAGTCCAACCCCTGCCCTGATGATGATGGTGGTGGTGATGATGTTGATTATGATAGGAGACTAGAGTTAGATGAGACCCCAAGGTCCATCCAGTCCAACCCCTGTCCTGATGGTGGTGGTGGTGGTGATGATGGTGATGATGATGATGATGATGATAGGAGACTAGAGTTGGAGGAGACCTCAAGGACCATCCAATCCAACCCCTATCCTGGTGATGATGATATAATAATAATGCAATCCTAGTGTTGGATGAGATCCCAAGATCCATCCAGTCCAACCCCTGCCCTGATGATGGTGGTGGTGGTGGTGATGATGATGATGATGATGATGATGATGATGATGATGATGGGAGACTAGAGTTAGGAGAGACCCCAATATCCATCCAGTTCAACCCCTGCCCTGATGATGGTGATGATAATGATGGGAGACTAGAGTTGGAGGAGACCCCAAGGACCATCCAATCCAACCCCTGTCCTGATGATGATGATGATGATGATGATGATGATGATGATATAATAATAATAATACTAATAATAATAATAATAATAATGGAATCCTAGAGTTGGAGGGGACCATAAGGGTCATCCAATCTAACCCCTATCTTGATGATGATGATATAATAATAATAATAATAATAATAATAATAATAATAACAACAACAACAACAACAACAACAATAATAGAATCCTAGAGTTGGAGGAAACCCCAAGGGTCATACAATCCAACACTTGCCCTGATGGTGATGATGATGATGATGATGATGATAGAATAATTAAATTGGAGGAGACCCCCAAAGGCCATACAGTCCAACTCTGTTCTGTGATAAAAAGATGGCACAATCAAAGCCCTCTCAACAGATGGTCATCCAGCCTCTGCTTCCAGAGGCTCTGCTGGATTTCAGGTCTAGGGTGTTTTCATTCAGCCTCAAAATGCAAGACTGGGTTATTTATTTATTTATTTAAAACTCACCAAAAAACTATGGAGATGCTAATTACGAAACCAGTTTTTCCACGGCGTGTGTTGCAGCTGTAAACACACACTGGAACTGGATTGAGAAACCTCTTGGGTGTTCAGACTCAGGAGAGAATGGGCAAGCGTCCCATAGGTCTGGTTTCAGGAATGCAGTTTTGGCTTTTCTCTCTAGCAAAAGGGCCAAGGGCGGAAGCGAGATTTGCACCCACTCCCCTGCAAAAGGACAAAGAAAGTCGATTCCTTGTCCATTGGTAGTAACAAGGCACGTATTTATGAATGCAGTTTCACCCTGCTTTAAGTGCCAAGGATCAGTAGGACGGAATTGTGGGATTTGTAGTCTGGAACCGAAAAGCCCAAAGACCTGGGGAAACTACAACCCCCAGGAAAGACCTTGGGAAACCATCACTCCCAGTAAAGACCTTAGTTAGCTAGAACTCCCAGAAAAGACCTTGGGAAACTACAACACTTAGGAAAGACCTTGGGAAACTACAACACTCAGGAAAGACCTTTGGAAACTGGAACTCTCAGGAAAGACCTTAGTAAACTACAACTCCCAGGAAAGATCGTGGGAAACTAGAACTCTCAGGATATACTTTGGGAAATGACAACCCCCAGGAAAGACCTTAGTAAACTACAACTCCCAGGAAAGACCTTGGGAAACTGTAACTCCCAGGAAAAACGGGAAACTAGAATTCTCAGGATATACTTTGGGAAATGACAACCCCCAGGAAAAACCTTAGTAAACGACAACTCCCAGGAAAGATCTTGGGAAACTAGAACTCTCAGGATATACTTTGGGAAATGACAACCCCCAGGAAAGACCTTAGTAAACGACAACCACCAGGAAAGATCTTGGGAAACTGCAACTCCCAGGAAAGACCTTGGGAAACTGCAACTCCCAGGAAAGACCTTGGGAAACTGCAACTCCCTGGAAAGACCTTGGGAAACTGCAACTCCCAGGAAAGACCTTGGAGAACTACAACACCCAGGAAAGACCTTATTCAACTGTAGTTTCACACAGTATTTCGCCTTCTCTACCAAAGAGAGCGAGACCTTAGCAAACTACAGCTTCCATGATTCCACCATAAGGTGGTATCAAACTGCATCCAATCTACCATGTAGATGCACCAAGTGATGGGTCTACCAAAAATGGGCATCAAAGAACAAAACTGAAAGATACGAAACTTTGGAGTGCCTTTGCACGTTATACTAAACGGCGAACGACTCCGTCCGGTATCTAATCAAGAGACAAAATGGTGCCGATAACCTCGCGCAAACCCAAACACAGAAGAGATAAGTTTGAATAAATACAGTAGTTGGCCACCCCGTGACCCGTTCCGTGAGTCATTCGCACCCAGAGCTCTCCAAGGGACTTTCCCAATGGACAGAACGCTTGGACTTTGCACGAACCGAACCCTAGGCTTTGGGGAGCGAAAATAAACTATGAGAGATCTTTATGGGTTTCGGACTCAAGGAGGTTTCGTCGTGGAATGGAGCTGGCATTCCTTCTGAGATGAGATCTCGGCCCATGTTTTGTAACTCTGCTTGACACAACACAACCCAGCCCAGTTGTGACTTAACTGGTGTGGCATCATGTCCCGGTCTCTGGAGCGGCAGTCTAAATACTATTTCTCATATTGACGCAACCACGAATGGCATTGGCTTTTTTAGCCACTGCCATTGGCTCGTGTTCAGCTTGAGCCTCCTCAAGACCCTTCAGATGAACTGTTTCCAAGCCGAGTGCCATCCTGTATCATATCAAATTGTTGCTGTTGTTTGTTTGTTTATACTCTTTTCGTCTCCACAAGGAGACCCATTTCTCCCTGTTGACGGTCACTTAGTTTTGGTCTAGCTCTCCATTCGCAAAGAAATTCTGTCCCCTAATGTTTCAGTACCCCTCACTCCTATGACAGACAGACAGACAGACAGACAGACAGACAGACAGACAGACAGACAGACAGACAGACAGACAGGAAGATGGAAAGGAAGATAGATGGATAGATGGATGGATAGGAAGATAGATAGGAAGATGGATGGATAGGAAGATAGACAGGCAGACAGTTAGATAGGAAGATAGGAAGATGGRTGGGTGGGTGGGTGGGTGGGTGGGTGGGTGGGTGGGTAGATAGRTAGRTAGATAGATAGATAGATAGATAGATAGATAGATAGATAGATAGATAGATAGGAAGATGAATGGATGGATGGGTGGRTGGATAAGTAGGCAGGKAGGTAGGTAGGTAGGTAGGTAGGWAGRTRGRWRGATGGATGGATGGATGGATGGATGGATGGATGGATGGATGGATGGGTAGGTAGGGAGAGATAGAGAGAGAGAGGATGATGGATGGATGGACGGACGGACAGAYGGACAGACAGATAGATAGGAAGATGGATGGATGGATGGATGGATAGTTAGATGGATGAATTGATAGATGATAGATAGATAGATAGATAGATAGATAGATAGATAGATAGATAGATAGATAGGAAGATGGATGAATGGATGGGCAGGCGGGCGGGCAGGCGGGCGGGCAGATAGATAGACAGACAGACAGACAGACAGACAGATAGATAGATAGRWARATRGRTRGRTRRRTRGRTRGRTRGRTRGGWRARTGGGTGRGTGGGTGGGTGGGTRGGTRGRTRGATRGATAGATAGATAGATAGATAGATAGATAGATAGATAGATAGATAGATAGAWAGATGGATGGGTAGRTAGAGAGAGAGATRGRWRGATGGATGGATGGATGGRTRGRTRGRTRGRTRGRTRGRTAGGTAGGTAGATAGATAGATAGATAGATAGATAGATAGATAGATAGATAGATGCATAGAAATGGAAGAGATCCCATAAAGCAGCATTTCTCAACCTGGGGGTCAGGACCCCTGTGGGGGTCGCATGGGAGTGTCAGAGGGGTCGTCAAGGACCACCAGAAAACACAGAATTTTCTCTTGGTCATTAGGGTTCTGTATGGGAAGTTTGGCCCAATGTCATCGTTGGTGGTTCAGAATGCTCTTTGATTGTAGGTGAACTATAAATCCCAGCAACTACAACTCCCAAATGTCAAGGACCATTTTCCCCAAACCCCACCAGTGTTCACATTTGGGCATATCTGGTATCCGTGCCAAGTTTGGTCCAGATCCATCATTATTTGAGTCCACAGTGCTCTCTGGATGAAGGGGAACTACAATTTCAACACTCAAGGTCAATGCCCACCAAATGCTTCCAGTATTTTCTCTTGGTCATGGGAGTTCTGTGTGCCAAGTTTGGTCCAATTCCATCATTGGTGGAGTTCAGAATGCTCCTTGATTGTAGGTGAACTATAAATCCCAGCAACTACAACTCCCAAATGACAAAATAAATCCCCTCTCCCAACCCCACCAGTATTCAGATGTGGGCGTATCGGGTATTTGTGCCAAATTGTGTCCAGTGAATGAAAACACATCCTGCATATCTGATATTTACATGACGATTCATAACAGGAGCAAAATGACAGTGATGACATTGCAACGAAAATAATGTTGTGGTTGGGGGTCAGCACAACAGGAGGAACTGTATTGAAGGGTCAGCGAGAAACACTGACCTAAAGGACGACAAAAATCAGTACCCCATGGCTTTTGCAAACCCTAAACCTCCTCCAAACACATTTAGTATAATATTCGTGATGCTCCAGGCCAAGCATCCGTTTCGGAGCATCTTTGGGGATAACGACACTCACCTGTTATTGCGCTTCGTATGACTTCCTGCTATCCTCAAAGTTGGAAAGAAGGAGGGATGGCGATATGGGGTCTTTCGGCACCTAACTGGAAACGTCCTTTGGGGAGGGACGGCTGCATTGGGGCAGGCGAGAAGCCAAGGAAGGCGGAGAGAAAGCCACTCGGAGGGCAGCCAGGTGGGCCAAAGCGTGCCAGGAAAAAGGCATAGAGGACAGCAAGGGTTGTTTAAGGCACGTATAAAAGTAAAGGTTTCCCCTTGACACTAATTCTGGTCAAGTCCAACTCTGGGACTCTGGTGCTCAACTCCATTTCTAAGCCAAAGAGCCGGTGTTATCTGTAGACACCTCCAAGGTCATGTGGCCAGCATGACTGCAGGGCATGCCATTACTTTCCCGCAGAAGCAGTACCTATTGATCAACTCACATTTGCATGTTTTCGAACTGCTAGGTTGGCAGGAGCTGGGCTAACAGCAGGAACTCACCCTGTTTCCCGGATTCGAACCTGCGACCTTTCAGTCAGCAAGTTCAGCAGCTCAGCGGTGGACCCCAAGGTAAAAGTTTTCCCCTGACATAAAGTCTAGTCATGTCCGACTCTGGTGCTCATCTCCATTTCTTGCCAAAGAGCCAGCGTTGTCCATAGACACCTCCACGGTCATGTGGCCAGCATGACTGCAAGGAGAGTTGGATACTGATAAAGAATTTAGGGGAAATTATATTATAACATCCACACAATCCTCTAGCAAGAGAAGCCCAATGGGGGAAAGATTGGAATAGGAACTGGAATAGAAAGGAAGTTTGGACTGGGATCGTTGTAGATTCAGACTCCAACTCCATAGACACCTCCAAGGTCATGTGGCCAGCATGACTGCAAGGAGAGTTGGATACTGGTAGAAAATTTAGGGGAAATTATATTAATATCATCCCCAGAATCCTCTATCAAGAGAAGCCCAATGGGGGAAAGATTGGAATAGGAATTGGAACAGAAAGGAAGTTTGGACTGGGATCGTCGTAGATTCAGACTCCGACTCCATAGACACCTCCACGGTCATGTGACCAGCATGGAGAGTTGGATACTGATAGAGAATTTGGGGTAAATTATATGATACCATTCCCAGAATCCTCTTTCAAGAGAAGCCCAGTGGGGGAAAGATTGGAATAGAAAGGAAGTTTGGAGAATTTTGGACTGAGATCGCCGTAGAGTCAGACTCCAACTCCATAGACACCTCCAAGGTCATGTGGCCAGCATGACTGCAAGGAGAGTTGGATACCCGCCGCACCACTGACTACTAGTATTTTAAAAAACTCTAAAATCAAGACAGTAAATAAAGAGCAACCCCCAAAAACAGGGGAATTCCAGACAAGAATCTATCAGGGCCAGCTAACACCTCCCAACAAGGATTCCTCCAGGCTGCAATCAGCCAGGATTTGAAGCTACAAAGCTAATCAAGGTGGCCAGTTGCAACATTCACACCTGCCTCAAGCAGACATGAGTTCTTTCTCCCACCCTGGACATTATTCCACAGATATATAAAACCTGGCGTTGTCTGTAGACGCCTCCAAGGTCATGTGGCCAGCATGACTGCATGGAGTGCCATTACCTTCCTGATGAAGCAGTACCTATTGCATGTTTTCGAACTGCTAGGTTGGCAGGAGCTGGGGCTAACGAAAATAATGTTATCTTTGGGGGTCACCATGGAATCCTAGAGTTGGAAGAGACCTCATGGGCCATCCAGTCCAACCCCATTCTGCGAGGAAGCAGGAAAATTCAATTCAAAGCACCCCCAACAGATGGCCATCCAGCCTCTGTTTCAAAGCTGCCAACACACTCCAGGGCAGAGAGTTCCACTGCTGAACAGCTCTCATAAGCAGGAAGTTCTTCCTAACGTTGAGGTGGAATCTCCTTTCCTGTAGTTTGGAGCCATTGCTCCATTGCGTCCTAGTCTCCAGCTTGATCCCTCCTACCAATGACTTCCTCTCATATCTTGATCCATGGCCCTCATCATGTCTCCTCTCAGCCTTCTCTTCTTCAGGCTAAACATGCCCAGCTCTTTAAGCCGCTCCTCATAGGGCTTGTTCTCCAAACCCTGGATCATTATAGTCACCCTCCTCTGGACACATTCAACTTCTCCCTTCAATTGTGGTACCACAGCATGAGGAACTGTATTAAGGAAACACTGAACTAGACATTCCTCTTGATGTATCTGACCATCGCATTGGCTCTTTTAGTCGTTGCATCACACTCTTGGCTCTTGTTCAGCTTGCAGTCCACGAAGACTTCTCAATGCAGAATCAGTGGGGCAAATTGTCATTGTGGCAAGCATCGGTGTGTTCAATCTCGTGCTTCATCTTGTTTCGGGGACTTGCGGTTTGAACCGGGAAAGGTTGGAAACCCTGGCTATTGATTGCCGGCCGCTCTGAGATCGCGCAGAGAGATTTGAACAACGCATGAATCCAGTAAACAAAGCGAGACAAAAGTGCAGGAATCATTTTGAAGTCCCAGACTTCACGAGACAAAAAGTTTCCCTTTGAAACGTGCCGCTTGAGCGCACCAAGAATGCGCCGATTGTTCTCTCTCCTGACGCAAAACTGCATGGAAAGTTGGCCCAGAAGGATGCGGCAAGGTCTTGTTTTGGAAAGGAGAACGGCCTCCTTCAAGGGTTGCCACGCACAAGAACATCCAAATGCTCACAAAGGAGTGAGACCTTCATTGGACCAATCACAATTGCATGGTGTTTTTAGCTGCTGCACCTCCATGTTGACTCGTCTCCATACAGATACAGAAAATCAAATGTGTGTTTGTCTATTTGTACCACAAAGGTGAAGTGGCCCTTTGTGATGTCACTGGTGACCTGTGTATCAACAGAAGGGAGGAAGGAGGGGAAGGAAGGAAGGAAGGAAGGAAGGAAGGAAGGAAGGAGGAGGAAGGAAGGAAGGAAGAAGGAAGGAAGGGAAGGAAGAAAGGAAAGAAAAGGGAGGGCAGGAAGGAGGAAAGGGAAAGGAAGGGAAAGGGAAGAAGGAAGAAGGAAGGGAGGAAAAAAAGGGAAGGAGGAAGAGAAAGAAGGGAAAAAGGAAGGAAGGGAAAGGAAAGGAAGAGAGGAAGGGAGGAAAGGGAAGGAAGGAAGAGGAAAGGAAGAAGGGAAAGGAAGGAAAAAGGAAAGGAAAGGAAAGGAGGAGAGAAGGAAGGGAAAGGAAGGAAGGAAAGAAAAGGGAAAGAAAGGAGGAAGGGAAAGGAGGAAAAGGAAAGAAGGAGGAAAGGGAAGGGAAAGAGGAGAAAAGGGAAAGGAAAGGAAGAAGGGAAAGGGAAGGAAGGGGAAAGGAAGGAAGGGAAGGGAAAGAGGGAGAAGGAAGGAAGGGAAGGGAGGAGGGACTGAAGGAAGGAAGGGAAGGGAAGAGGGAAGGAAGGAAAGGAGGAAGGAAGGGAGGGAGGAAAGGGAAGGAAGGGGGAGGGAGGGAAAGGAAGGGAAGGAAGAAGGAGGGAAGGGAAGGAAAGGAAAGAAAGGAAGAAGGGAGGGAAGGAAGGGAAGAAGGAAGGAGAGGAGGAAGGAAGGAAGAAGGAAAGGGAAAGAAAAGAAGGGAAGAGGAGGAAGGAAGGGAAGGGAGAAAAAGAGGGAAGGGAAGGAGGAAGGAAGGGAGGGAGGAGGGGAGGAAAATAAGGGAAAGGAGGGAAGGAAGGGGAAGAGGGAAGAAGAAGGAAGGAAAAAGGGAAAGGAGGAAGGGAAGGGGAAGGGGAAAAGGAAGGAAGGAGGAAGGAAGAAGGGAGGAAGAAAGAAGAAGAAGAGAGGAAGAGAGGAAGGAAAGGAAGGAAGAAAAAAGAGGGAAGGAAGGGGAGAAAGGGATGAGGGGAGGCGAGGAAAGAGATAGAAGAGAAAATAAAAGGGGGGAAGAAAAAAGGAACAAAGAAGGGAGAAATGAGAAAAAAGGAAGGAAAGAAACTGATCTTTTAGTTCAAACGCCACCATTATTACATGTTGGATAATGAAGGGAATATGTGCAGAGTCTGGTCAAGATACATCAAGCCATGTGATAGGTTGCTGTGAGTTTCCCGGGTTGCATGGCCTCATTCCGGAAGCTGGCCAGTGGCAACATTCACACTTGCCTCCATAGACAAGACTTCTTTCTCCCACCCTGGACATCATTCCACAAAGGGATATATATATAAACCCCACTTGCCTAGTTTCCAACAGACCTCACAACCTCTGAGGATGCCTGCTGTAGATGTGGGTGAAACATCAGGAGAGAATGCTTCCGGAGCAGGGCCAGACAGCCCGGAAAACTCACAGCAAACCAGTGATTCCGGCCTTCGACAACACACGTGTAGATATTTTGACTTTTATAGAAAGAGATGTCACTTGTATACCTGGCAGCGGAAGAGCTATATTAGTCATGCAAATATCCACTCATTGATTTGATCAGGAAATTATAGGTTATGCTCACACGCTGAGACAAATAACAGAGCAGTGTAAACATGCGACGGAAAAACCGTTCGATAGAACTTAGTCTAGACGTGAGGCCTCTATTGACGCAGCCTGGAATCGCATTGGCTTTGTTTGCTGCCGCATCACACCGTTGGCTTATGTTTACGTTGTGTTTCCTGTCTTCGCTAATAGATTTATTTCCCACTAGCTGTCTCTGCCACACGTTGCTGTAGCCAACCTTCCCTCCCTCTTTCTGTCCTTCTTTCTTTCTCTCCTTCCTTCCCTCCCTCTTTCTTTCCTTCCCTCTTTTTCTTTCCCTTCTTATTTTTTCCTTCTCTGTTTCTTTCTCGCTTCCTTTGCTCTTTGTCCATCCTTCCCTTCTCTTTCCTTCCTCCTTTTCTCCCTCTTCTTTCCTTCCTCTTCCCTCCTCTTTCCTTCTCTTCTTCTCCCTCTTCCTCCTCTTCTTCTCTCCTTTTTTTCCTTCTTCTCCTTCCTCCCTCTTTCTCTCCCCTTCTCTCCTTCTTTCCTTCTCTACCCTCTTTCTTTCCTTCTTTCTCTCCTTCCTCTCCTTCTCTCCTCTCCTCTCCTCCTTCTTCTCTACCCTCTTTCTTTCCTTTCTCCTTCCCTCCTTCTTTCCCTCCCTCTCCCTTCCCTACCTGTCTTTCTTTCTTTCCTTTCTTCCCTTTTCTCTCCTCCCATCCTTCTCTATCCTTCCTTTTTTCCCTTCCTTCTCTCCTTCCCTTTCCTTTCTTCTCTCCTCCTCTCTTCCTTCTTCCTTCTCTTCCTTCTTTCTTCCTTCCCTTCTCT